CTTCACCCTTATTATTCCCAATAGTTCATGTAAATATATTAGAATTCTTACCCTTTATAACCTTAATTTCTAGTGAAAATTAGGAAGTAGGAGATTGTGAACCACCAAATGTCAGCATTCCAAAGGAGACTAGCACATTTATGAATACACCATTTTATAATTATACTGGCATATGTATCCTTCATTGCACAATTTTTCAACGTGGCAAACACGTTTTTCAACAGACCCCAATATTATTAGACTCTCTATAGTAATAGCCAAGAGTAGGTAAATTAAAAATTGTATTAATTTATGCTTCAGTATTTTATCTTCTTTGGAAATGATCAGGGAGAAAGGGTCATAGGATGGTTAATGGGTCTGCTTGTATTTTCCATACCTGAGGGTTAATTTTGTTTGTGTGTTATGAGGAAATCACCCTTTTATTCTAGATTTACAGGTTGATGCAGTAGCTTGTTCTTATTTAACTTTTAATTTCACCTCTCATTCTAGTTTTCTACAGAACTGTCACAATCAATGAACAAATATGGATACCTTACTATGAACTAAAACCCATATTTTATTCAGGTTCCTTTTATTCTCCGTTTTTCTGCCCTAGGATCACATCCAGGGTATCACATGTCATTGACTCATCATGTCACTTTCGGATCTCTTTGGCTTCGACATTTTCTTACACTATCCTTCTCTCAGTGACCTAGACAGTGTTCAGGAGGAGACAGTTAGGTATTTTGTAGCCTGTCCCACACTGAGATTTACTTGCTGTTTTTCTTGTGATTAGAATAGACTCATGGGTATTGAGGAAGCAGATCCCAGAGGTTAAGTGCTTTCTCATGACTTTATATCACGGGAACATACATCAAAGCAACTTATCACTGTTCATGTTAACTTTGTCTTCCTGGCTTAGGTACTGTTTGTAAGGTTTCCCCCACTGTGACATCACTTTTTCCTTAAGTCTGCACTGTGTATCTCCTTTAAGATGAAGTCACTATGCGGCCCCCACACTTCAGGACAGGGGAGATAGCCCCACCCCCTTAATGAATGACTGAGTATCTACATCAACTATTTGGAGTTCTTCCTCACAGTTCATTCAACAGTTCTCATGAAACACACAAACACTCTCTCTCTCTCCCTCTCTCTCCCTCTCTCTCTCTCTCTCTCTCTATATATATATATACATACATATATATATATATATATATAAAATTTATTTTTAACAGGGTGGACACTCCACCCAGATCATTATTCTAAGCTTTTGGTTACAATTCAGCAGAACAGTATTTGGTTGTTCAGTTCACTCCTGCTTTGCTACTGAAAGCTCTTTCCATGGGTTCTTGCTTTCCTCTGACATAGTTCTACCTCGTGGGTTTCCTTTCTTCTTGTGCACATCTTTTTATGTGCTTGTTGACCATTTGCATTTCTTTTCTGGAGAAGGGTATGTTCAAGTCCCTTTCTATTCAAACAATTGGGTTGTCTTCTTGTTGTTGACGATTTGTAAAAGTTCTTGATGTGTTCTGAAGAACAGGCTCTTGTCAGATATATCATGTACAAATATTTAGTTCCATTCTGTAGGTTATGTTTTCACTTTCTGGATAGCACCTTTTGATGAACAAAAGTTTTTAAAATTGAGGAAATGAAATCTATCCATTTTTACATGGGTATCGTAACCTTCTTTGCTTGTCTGTAACCTCCCACTCCAACGGTAAGAAATCTGATTTCCACCATTTATCCTCCATTGAATTCACTGCTTACTCCATTCTGGATTACAGATATAGTAGTTTCAGTATTGTTAACTCCTACCACCATGGGAAAGAACTTACAGAGTCCAGTATTTATGGATGGCACAATTTGCCTTTGTTCTACAAGATTCCAGTCTTTTCCATAGTTAATTAGGTCAAATATCTTTTGCCCCACCACCCAACAGTGAGTTTTTTTCATACATTTCTAAACAAGTTAGATTCTTTGTCACATTCTCTATTCCATCCTGTGACACTCCCATATCCTAAAAAATTTAAAAACTAAATTTGAATATATTATGATTTACTCGTTGGGTTGTAAAAATCCATGGGTTTAAACTAATGCCTCATGGAAGGTATCCATCACTTAAGTATCACATGGAATATTTCAACCCCCACACCATAACCTGTTTACCATCTCTGATTCACCTGTTCCAGAATGTCACAGAAATGGAGCACTACAGTGTGAAGCCTCCTCAGACTGAATTCTTTCACTTAGCAATATACATGTGGGATTCACCCACGTTTTTTGCATGGTTGATGGTTAATTCCTTTCTATTTCTGAATAGTATTCCATTGTATGCATATGGGAAAAGTAACTTTCCCTCCCAGGTTCTTGATTGAGGCCTCCCCACCTCCATCCCTAGTAATAAAAGACAAAGAATAATAATACAAATGCCACTAGATATAACTTCTTTCCAAAATTTTAGCCATGAGTCAGTAAAACTGCATAATCCAGAATCATCTGTTTATATAAAAGAGTTGGCTGTGAACTGTGTTTCTGGAAGATGGACCAAGAATGATTACTTGCTTAGTGAAAGATAAAGATTTTTACTAATATCTGCAGAGAAGACTTTTCAGATTTAGATTTGCCCTGATATGTAATCTTATGGAGGCTGTGGACTAAATTCTGGTCAAAGGAATTTTTGGAAAAACCTTGTGGCAATCTTGTTAGTTTTGAAAATCCATCTGAGTGGATAAAAATATCCAGTTTGTCTACCATCAGCATTTTTCTTTTCAGTCTCAGGTAGCAAAGCACTCTCAAGTTAGAATTATTTCTTTGCATGTTCACGTTTAAAGACTTGGTTCTCAGGACGTGGACGACACAGCTGTTGCTGGCAGAAGGGCCTGAGGAAGGACGTAAGCACTTTAAAGAGCTTCTGGGGCATATATCCTATTATCAGAGGTGTAGGGAAATTACTATCTAAGTTTTTCTTCTTTCTTGAGTGCAGAACAGTTATTTTCCCAATACCTTGACCTGAGAAGAACATGGAGACTTTAATATCGGTAAGAAGGGTGGGTGGGCTTTGAATTCCCCCTAGAACCACATTTCTGTTTCTGTATCGACGAGATTAGTAAAGGAAGGATGGTTGTTTTTTAATTTTTCAAGGAATTGCATATTCAAGAGGCTGACCTGCCCATCCAACTTCACTATCTTGAAGTTGACTCTTTATATCAAGGAGAAGATTTCCAACTAAGATGTAAATCAGAAGATTCCTGTGTCCAGATTTAGAGCTCTGTGCCTTTGGATGTTTTCATGGATCCTTCTGCAAAGGCTCCATGTGCTCTCTCTCCCTCAGAGCGTGTGGTTCTACTTTAGCCAGGTGGTCTTAGCAGAGGAGAACTCACAAATAGCTCCTCTCAGGCCGGAATAGCCGGAATAGCTACCCTCCAACTGGGCCAAGTTCTGAAAATTAGCAGGTGGTTCTGGACCAGGATCTGTCCATTTGGGATCTTGGTGAGGATTTTCTCCAGGGGGCCATCTGGAAGACTGCATGAACACACTGTATAAATGGGTGGGAGGGTTGATGGTGGATTTCAATTTTTTCTCTAAATCTGATTTCCATTCTCTTGTTCTGTTAAGGAAGTGATCTTAGGCTAGCCATGATACTCCTTCATCTTTCTTTCAGTTTGATCATCAAAGAGGTTTGAATAGGATCTTTGTTCTAGGGTGAAAGCCTTTAAAATAAAATCCTTGCAAATATCATCTTATCAGGTGTTTGGTCAAGACAACCAGTAAATTCTCCTGGCAGTACTGAAGATGTTTCTTCCTGCCAGGGGGTTTCCAAAGGTATACCTATTCCAAATATGACTCAAAACCAAGAAGCCTTTTTATAGCTTAACCATGGACAAAATGTTTTCACTAAAGAAGATGAAAAAAGAGCATCCCCCATGATCCAGTGTCACTCCCCAAAACAGCCAAAATAAATAAAGAAAATATGAACAAGAGAAAAGGTTTATTTCTATGCACACAGGAGCCAATCCAAAAAGTCACTCACATGTTAAATTGTGAAAGTTAAAGGCTTATCAACCTAACTTACTAGGGGAAAAGGAGAGGGGAGAATTGGCTTCTATGGGAAGAACAGATAGGTTTCTTCAGGAAAGACTAACAGGTTATTTGCAAAACAATGAGATTTAAGAACGTTTGTTATAATGTTTGTCCATGGATGAGTGATCTTTGCATCTTCTTCAGCACCATAAAACACCCCACAGAAGGGATTTATGGTAGGGTTACTCTTGGTCCTTCTCCTGGAATAGAAGCCACCCTGAAGAGGGAATATATTGGCTGTGGTCATTTCTCAGAAGTTTCAGCTCTTACTCAGATGAGGGGAGCTCCAAGAAGGCTTTTGTTCTGCATCAGTTGAATCTCAAGTATCTTCAGCTTCAGTTGTCTTTCTACCAACATTGGGGTTCTGCCTGGCTTTCCATACCTCCAACTTTGTTCTTCTTTTTCAAGATTCCTTGATCTATCCATTCCGAGCCCTTTGCATTTTCCACATGAAGTTTAGATTGGTTGTCAATTTCTGCAAAACACTACCTGGGATTTGGATAGTGATTCTTTGCATCTTTAGATCTATTTGTGGAATACTGCCATCTTCACGGAATTAAGCCTTCTGATCCATGAATATGGGATTATTTCCCATGAATTTAGGCCTTTCTTAATTTCTTTCAACAAGCTATTGTTGTTTTCAGTGTACAAGTCTTATCCGCCTTTCTCTGGCCTTGGGTTATGAGGAATGCTTTTCCAGTTTTTTTCTGGTGTGTTTTTGCCACAAGAAGAGCTAAACATTTCTTCTGACTTCTGGCTCTGGTGTCACACTTAGCAGTGTCCACCCTGAGATTATGCACGTATTTACTAAAAGGTCTTCGTTTTGTACATCTCCTCTTTAATCCACCTGGATTTCCCTCTCAAATAACCAAAATGCTATTTCAAATAAAAACAAAAATATTCACCAGTTCCCTCTTAAAATAAGTGCACAGACACAAAAAGCCAACTTTTGTATGGTTTCATTGTAGGAAACATCCAGAAGAAGTAAAGAAGCAGAGAAAGGATTAGGGGTGTGAGAGGCTGCGGGAGGGAAGAATGGGGAGTGCATGCTTGGGATACAGGGTTTTACTTTGGGGAATGAAACAGTCTTCAACTAGAAAGTGGTGATGGTTATACTGCATTGTGAATGTACTTAATGCTCCTGAACTGCAACTGAAAATAGAAAATGTTGATATTTAAATTTTATTACTTTACACTTAAGTAGAGTATGCCATAAAAATGTGGAAGAATAGATAAAACTAAATATAAAATTTAAAAAGACCCAAACACAAACAAATACAGGGAAGGAAAGTAAATTTCAGGTGGGGGAGCAGGTTGATGGTGTAGATTGGGAGCTGACAGCAATGATGGTGGCAGAGGTGGCTTTGCTTGTGGGGATGATGATTTCTGAAATAGCTCTGGGTCTCCTGCAGGAAGCAGTGCAGGCTCTGCAGGGGTGGTGAATTTTGATCAGGCTCTGGGTCTCCTGCAAAAGCAGTTGAAGGTCCTCTCTACAGAGGTGGTAAACCACCATCTGGATCTCGGTCTCCTGCAAAAGCAGGTACATGTTCTCCCTTCCCAGTTGGCAAATCATCATCTGGCACTGGGTCTCCAGCTGCACCTGTGAGAGAAGTAAATTTTACCCACATGCCTGCCTTTCCATGTGCCTTTCCAAGGACAGAACTCTTCCCAGAGCTTTCCAGAGAATTCCCAGCCCAGGAACTCATACAGGAGGTCTTCTCTGACTGAAGTCCACCACCAGATGGACGGTCTGAGGCCAGCCCTTGCTTTGGGCCAAACCCCAGCCTCTGGACACTCCTCTCTGTGTGGCCCAGAATTCTCATGCACCCCACCCCCAGCCATCTCACCTTTGTGCTCTGCCTTGGTGGGCTCCAGATCCTCCAGCTGACTCAGGGGAAGGTTGACACGGTGCTCCAGCCCTGTGGAAGCCTGGGACTTCTGGACACTGTGGGAGGTGTCTGGACAGGAGGCCCTCCCCGTTGACCTCTGGGCTGTGGTGCTGGAGGACCCTCCATGGCCACACTCACATGGAAGCTGTGTGAGCCCTTACTGGCAGTGTGGCACGCCTCAGCTCCTCACTTGGGGAGCTGGATCAGGTGTCCTAATTGGAACTCCTTGCCGATCTCCTATGGGGGGCTTTGCAATGACAGTGACCAGCAGCCAGCCCAGCCTGGCGGGATCAGGGCATCGCCCGGCCATTATCGCTGCTTCTTCTGCCCACTCGACCTTCTGCTCCCAGATCAGGCACAGACCTGTGTCTGCTCACATATCTAGCCGGGAGGAAAGAGATCCACCTAGAGGGCTTAGAACAACCCTCAGGCAGAAAGGCGCTGTCTGGGCTCTCTCTTCCCATCCTGTCCAGCCATCTTGGACTTGGAGTGTAGACATGACCAGCCCACTAGGTTTCTGACTCCTCATTGGCCTGTTCTTGCTTGAGGCAGACCCACCCCACAGAAGCCCCCACCTCCATACATCCAGGGAAGAGACAGAGGGCTACCCGAGTGGAATCAGAGTTGTGGCCTGGCTTGGGTGGCCTGCTCGGGGCCTCCCTGGCTTACCTTTGGGTCCCTCTGGGCAAAGAGTCAACGGCATCTGGGGTGGGACCTGACCCAATGTCGACAGCATTGGAAGACGCTGGCACTGAGACCTTTCCTGAGGCTATGGCCTTGGGATATTGGGACACAGAAAATCATGTTTCCAACCACATGAGCTGGTTATGGGGCTCCTCTAGGATGTGGATGCCTGGTTACCCAGGTTCCATGTTCTGTTGGGCTCTATTGCCAGGGATGTGAGGTCACTGCCTGGGGTCCCCTTGCCCAGGCTTTTTCCTTATACAAAGCTCCCCAAGGGCACCTCTGCACCCCGTGCCATGTCCACACGCTGTGACATCAACCTAGCCTGACCTGCAGCCGTGGGGCGGCTTGGGTGTGGCTAGGGTCCAGCTCTGTTGACACAGCTGGTTTCCGACCCAGTTTTTCCTCCTCACCCATGATGTGACCCTGGACAAATGCCATGGGCCTCTCAGGCCCACCCTAGTCTCCCCATCTGCATAGTGGCAGCCATTCTGGCAACATTCTAGGGAAGTCATCAGGTGTATAGACCTATAAACACTTACAGTGCCTGTAAAAACCATGGGCTGGTATCACATGGAGCTCATGCACAGACTGAACAAAGGAAGTATTCCATAAAGGGCTGGTGTAGCACAGAATACAACTGAAACAGGCCTAGGTCTGCTCTGGGACCTAGAGAAAGTCACTCCCCTTCCTGCCTATTTCCCAGTCCCCCTGTGGGAGGATTGAAAGTAAATAAAATTCACACATTGCCCCCTCTGGTTTACAATCTTCCAGGTTCTCCTGGTTCAAGTGTCTCCTCTTGGCCTCCGGGGTGGGCTGCCTCTACAATGGCTCCCAGCAGTCTAGCCTCCTGGTCACATATCCTTGTATAAATCCCCACCCCTCCAGAATGGATGGACACTGTGATTGGTTCTAGCCTATGGATGGATTTAGGAAAAGTCTGTGTCTTTTACTCATTTCCTCTCTCTTGTGTTCTCTTGCTCTCTTGCTGCCTTTCTATGTTTCTGTCTCTCTCTCTTCCTCTGTCTCTCATGTGTGTAGGTATGTGTATGAATGTATGCATGTATATATATATATATATATATAGTTAGATTTAGAGTCAGGGTTTGGTTTAGGGTTAGGGGTCAGGGTTTGGGTTACGGTTTTTGTTTCTTGGAGGTTGAGTTCTGTGAGTTCTTGGTCTGTTTTGGATATGAACCCCTTATCAGATACATTGTTTGCAAATATTTTCTCACATTCAGTATGCTGCCTTTTTGTTTTGTGGATGGTTACCTTTGCCGTTGAAAACCTTTTCAGTTGGATGGAGTCCCATTGGTTTATTTTACTTTTCTTTCCCTTGTTTGAGAAGAACAATAAAAAAATATTGCTAAGACTGATGTGAAAGAGCATACTGCCTATGTTTTCTTCTAGGAGTTTTATGGCTTCAGGTTTTACATTGAAGTATATGATTTATTTTAAGGTTGTTTTTGTAGATGGTATGAGAAAGGAATCCAGTGTGACTCTTGTGCATGTAGCTGTCAGGTTTTCCCAACACCATTTATTAAAGAGGCTATCTTTTCCCCATTGTGTCTTCTCACCTCCTTTGTCATAGATGAATTGACCATATAAGCATGGGTTTCTTTCTGGGCTCTCAGTTTCGTTCCATAGATCTATGTGTATTACTTACTTTTGTGCGAATAAAAGTAAGTAATACTTACTTGTAAGTAAGTAAGTAATACTGTCTTGATGAGTCTAGGTTTCTAGTATATTTTGAAATCAGGCAGCATGGTATGTCCAAGTTTGTCCTTCTTTCTTAAGATTGTATTGACTATTTAGGTTCTTTTTTGTTTCCATACACATTTTGGAATTCTTTTTTGTAGTCCTCTGAGAAAAATCCATTGATATTTTGAAAGGAATGGCATTGAATCTCTGGATTGCCTTGGGGGTGTGGAATCGTTTTACCAATACAAATTCTTCTGATCAATGAGCACAGTATATCTTTCCATTTGTTTGTGTCATCTCCATGTTCTTTCATCAATGTCTTCCAGTTTTCTGAGTATGGCTCTTTTACCTCCTGGGTTAGATGTACTCCTAGGTATTTCATTTTTGTTAATGTCATTGTCAATGGGGTTGTTTACTTAATTTCTCATTCTGATAGTTTTTTGTGAGTGTATAGAAATGCAATCGATTTCTGTAGATTAATTTTGTATCCTGCAACTTAAACTGAGTTTTCTGATGAGTTCTATTTGTTTTTAGGTGTCACCTTCACCATTTCCTATACGGAGTAACAGGGCATCTACAAAGAGTGACAGTTTAACTTTTTCCTCTGCCATTGGATTCCTCTTTTTTTTTTTTTCCATTTAATTATTATGGCCAGGACTTCCTAGACCATGTTGAATGTAAGTGGTGAGTGTAGTCAGGGTGAGAGTTAGGTGTAAGCATAACTGGCCCTCTTCCCCTTCCTCCCTCTCCATCTCTCTGAGGCCTCAACTGACTTCTGTAGGTTAATTTTGTATCCTGCAACTTAACTAAATTTCCCAATGAATTCTATTTGTTTTTGGGTGTTGCCTTCAGCAATTTCTATATAGAGTATCATGTCACGTATAATCTATTTTTAATAGACGTACATCTATTTTAAATGGATTTTTTTTGTTTGTTTTTTTCTGTTTTTGTTTGGTTTGGTTTTTTTTTTGTGGTACGTGGGGCTCTCACTGTTGTGGCCTCTCCCGTTGAGGAGCACCAGGTTCCGGACACGCAGGCTTAGCAGCCATGGACGCTCTGTGGCATGTGGGATCTTCCCGGACCGGGGCACGAACCCGTGTCCCCTGCATCAGCAGGCGGACTCTCAACCACTGTGCCACCAGGGAAGCCCTGTGTTATTGTTTTTTATTTTGAGACAAATTTTTACTACATATGTGTTTGCAACTGTTTTTCTCCCAGTTGGTGACTTGCCTTTTGACTTTCTGAATAAGGTCTTTCACAGAGTCAAAATCTTTAACTTTATAAAGTCCATCATATTCCTTGTTTATCTTTCTGGATTGCTTTTTTGTGTTGTGTGTTAAAGCTCAAAGCTCATGATCTACATGACCAAAACCAAGCTCGTGTTGATTTTCTTTGATGTTTTCTCCTGAAATTTTGATTCATTTTGTATTTAAAATGTATCTATGAATAATTTTGAGTGTATTTGGTGCAAGTTTAAACTTTGCATCTGTTCCTTAACTATTTTTAGAAAAGTTATGGGATATAGTCTCCATCTCAGTGCGACTGCCCAAAGTTGAACAGATTCAGCCGTTCTGCCGTCAGGGAGTCCAGCATCCAGTGAGCTGTGAGGAGGGCAGGGCCTGCAGTGCCCGCACCGCCCACAGTGGGCCGAGCCCGCCTCTCTGACCTAATGCGCACGCGCATTCCACCTTTGGACTTGGTTGCTCAGGCAGCTGAAATGAGTTCCGTCTCCTCAGGCACCTCCAGGGCTTCGGCAGGGATTCCCGGGTCAGTGTCTCTGCAGACAGGAGCTCAGTCTTCTTAGGATTCACTGGGGTTTTGGCTTCAGGACAACACTGGGCTGTGTCCACACTGAATGGGAGTCTGGTTCTTCAAGACCAAGTGGGGCTTAGGCTTCCTGATAAAGTAGGGCTGCATCCACACTGACAGAGCTTGGTTTCCTGAGGACACAGGTGACACCAGGAGGAAAAGGTGAGGAAAAAGGAAGGAGAAGTGAGGAAAAGTGGGGAGTAGCTTTCTGTGTGCCACTGACTGCTTGGAGTGGGGGAGGGGGAGTTCCATCTTCAGAGGACCCAGGAAGGCTTGATGTGGAAAACTGGGTTCTTAGTCAGTTTTGTGTGTGATGTAGATGACATGTGGTATGTGGTACCCAGGTTTCCCAGCCCCGTTTATTGTGGGGACTTTTGTCCTTCCCCTTGGTGTGTCCTTGGCCCCTTTTCATAAATTAACTGACCACCTCCATTTGGGTTGAATTCTGGGCTCTCTGTCTGTAACAGGGGTGGGGCAGGCATGAGCTATAGAGACCCCACTCAGCCATTGGTTGGTGCCACATTTGGCCCCTCCCCCTCTTTTGTATAAAAGGACCCCGAATTCAGACTGACAGAAGATGGTTTTTCGAGATGCTAGTCTGCCATCTTCTCGGTCAGCTAGCTTTCTGATTAAAGTCATTATTCCTTGATCCAACTCATCTGATTTATTGGCCTGTCATGTGGTGAGCAGAATAAGCTTGGGCTTGGTAATACAGTTACATGCATATTAGCATGTAGTCAGTCACTTGCTCAAATTCAAATCCAGAAGTATACATTTCCCTCAGCACTACATCTGTAACATGAAAAGCAGGACATGATGCTCAATAAAGATTTATTGATTTAGTGGGTAAATAAATGAGAGAAAGAGAAGGGAATGTTTGGGAGCAAAAGCAAATAAGAAACCCATACTGTGCACTGGACACCAGCTGGATGTTTCTAGGAGATGGAGGGTACAGATCAGGAACTCGTGAGGTTCAGCTCTGGGGATTTGATGGAGGAGCATTTGCATTCAGGTGGTTGATGAAACTACCTAGGGAATCAGGAATAGATTTTTAAAAAACTCTGAGGTCATGTTGAACCAGTGTTTAAAAGAGAAACAAAAATAGAGGGGTCACAAGAGGAACCTCAGGAAGATTAATCAGGGAATTAAAAGCTGAGAACCACAAAGAATTAGTATTGCAGTCAAAGTAAATGGCACTTGAAAAAGAAACTGACACGTTCTATTACCCTTCAAATATACCACTACTGTAATTACCAAATGCGATAAAGTATACGTAATGAATCAACTTATTCAATATTCCATTTTAAACTCTACTTTAGGGAAGCAGTGCAGAAAAGAGATTTAAAACATGAGTTCTTGAGTTCCATTCCTGGGCCTGCTGAGTAAGCCAAGAGACTAACACTCCCACCGACAGAAACTGTAAACTCTGAACAAAATGTAAAAGCAACCGCTTGGAGGCTCTGGAGAGTAAACAAGGGAGACAAACTCTGAGGTTGAAGACTCAAAGGGCCTGGGGCCTGAGGGTGGATTCTGTAGTGGGGTGGAACTCACAGCTTCCATCTCCCAAACCAGCCAGAAGGCAGGGGGATGACATCTTTAAAGTCCTGGGGGAGGGGAGACCCTGTCAGCTAGAATGCCATATCCCATGAAAACCTACTTCAAGAATTAAAGTGAGGGAATACCCTGGTGGTCCAGTGGTTAGGACTCGGTACTTTCACTGCCATGGTCTGGGTTCAATCCCTGGTCAGGGAAGCTGTGAAACACAGCCAAAAAAAAAAAAAAAAAGAGAGAACTAAGGTCAAATAAAGACACTTGTGAGTGTCTGTCGGCAACAGACCTGTACTACAAGAACGTGAAAGAAAGCTCTTCAAGTTGAAGGGAAATGATACCAAAGGAAAACATGCATCTTCAGGAAGGAATAACAAGCTTTGGAAATGGTAAATACATAGGAAGATATCATTTCTTTTAAATATTGACAGTTTAAAGTGAAAAATATAAAATGTCTTGAAGAGTTTATAATGTATGTAAATGTAATATATAAGGCAATTATAAAGGATAGCACAAGGTGGGGGAAGAAGTGAGGAGATGTCTGCATTTTTAGATGAAGTGGTATAATGCTAACTCTAAATAGACTGCAAAGGTAAGCATTTTTACTCTCAGTGCAGCTAATAAAAGGAACTGGAAAGGAATATAGCTAAAAAGCCATTGGATGCATTAAATGGGATTCAAAATATATTTGAATAATTCAAAAGAAGACAGGAAAGAAGGCCCAGGGACAACAAAATTAGAAGGAACAAAGGTCAAAGAGCAATATGGCAGCCTTAAATATAGTTTTATCAATAATTACATGTAAATGGACTGATACATTATATAAAAGGCAGAAGTTATCAACTGTACTTTTTTAAAAGACAGCATTATACTGTCTACAAAAAAACACTTAAAAATTATCCAGGTCTCTTTATTCTTTTGTTATAGTCTCCAGATTCTACCTCTTATTTCTTTTCTTTTACTACATCTTCCTTAGAGGTTTTTTTTGTTGTTGTTTTTTAACTGAGGCATAGTTGCTTTACAACGAAGTGAATCAGCTATATGCATACATATATCCCCTCACTCTTGGACCTCTCTCCCACCCCCACCCCATCCCACCCATCTAGGTCACCACAGACCACGGAGCTGAGCTCCCTGTGCTATACAGCAGGTTCCCACTAGCTATGTGTTTTACACATGGTAGTGTATATATGTAAATCCCAATCTCCCAATTCATCCCACTCACCCCTTCCTCCCCTGCACCATGTCCACACATCCATTCTCTACATCTGCATCTCTATTCCTGCCCTGCAAATAGGTTCATCTATACCATGTTTCTAGATTCCACATATATGCATTAATATACAATATTTGTTTTTCTCTTTCTGACTTCACTATGTATGACAGACACTAGGTCCACCCATGTCTCTACAAATGACCCAATTTCATTCCTTTTTATGGCTGAGTAATATTCCATTGTAGATATATACCACATCTTCTTTATCCATTCATCTGTCGATTGACATTGCTTCCATGTCTTGGATACTGTAAATAGTGCTGCAATGAACATTGATGTGTATGCGTCTTTTTCAATTATGTTTTTCTCAGGGTATATGCCCAGTAATGGGATTGCTGGGTCATATGGTAGTTCTTTTTTCAGTTTTTTGAGGAACCTCCATACTGTTCTCCATAGTGGCTGTATCAATTTACATTCCCACCAACAGTGCAAGAGGGTTCCCCTTTCTCCACACCCTCTCCAGCATTTATAGTTTATAGATTTTTTTTTTGTGTGTGTGTGTGTTACACAGGCCTCTCTCACTGTTGTGGCCTCTCCTGTTGCGGAGCACAGGCTCTGGATGCGCAGGCTCAGCGGCCATGGCTCACGGGCCCAGCCGCTCCGTGGCATGTGGGATCTTCCTGGACCGGGGCACGAACCCGTGTCCCTTGCATCGGCAGGCAGACTCTCAACCACTGCGCCACCAGGGAAGCCCTTATTGTTTATAGATTTTTTGATGATGGCCATTCTGACTGGTGAGAGGTGACACCTCATTGTAGTTTTGATCTGCATTTCTCTAATAATTAGTGATGTTGAGCATCTTTTCATGTGCCTCTTCACCATCTGTGTATCTTCTATGGAGAAATATCTATTTAGGTCTTATGCCCATTTTTTGCTGGGTTGTTTGTTTGTTTTTTATATTGAACTACATGAGCTGTTTACATATTTTGGAGATTAATGCCTTCTCAGGTGCTTCGTTTGAAAATATTTTCTCCCATCCTAAAGGCTGTCTTTTCATTTCTTTTATGGTTATCTTTGCTGTGCAAAAGCTTTTAAGTTTAATTAGGTCCCATTTGTTTATTTTTATTTTCATCACTCTAGGAGGTGGGTCAAAAAAGATCTTACTGTGATTTATGTCAAAGAGTGTTCTTCCTATGTTTTCCTCTAAGAGTTTTATAGTGTCTGGTCTTACATTTAGGTCTTTAATCCATTTAGAGTTTATCTTTGTGTATGGTGTTAGGGAGTGTTCTAATTTCATTCTTTTACATGTAGCTGTCCAGTTTTCCCAGCACCACTTATTGAAGAGACTGTCTTTTCTCCATTGTATATTCTTGCCTCCTTTGTCATAGATTAGTTGACCATAGGTATGTGGGTTTTTCTCTGGGCTTTC